ACATCATTTTGTCATTTCTTTACTGCATTTTCTTGTTACTTATTCAATACAAATATGCACTTATATATATGAATACACCAATATGTCAGGGACAAGTTAATGTTAGCCGAGTCAATATAGCTCTGGCGAGTAAATGTTAAAATTGGATTCACCTCTCTTTGCTCTGGATTCTGTTCTTCTTTATCAGCTAAGTGACAGAAACAAAACATCTGGTCAGTTCATTGATCATTGTCTTTGGTAAACCAGGAGTTTAGCATTTTTCCATCATATTGACACAATTTTAAACAACAATATATATATATATATGATATAGACAGTAGCACTGACAAAAAGTAACTGTCTGAAGTTTCCTGTTTTTGACGAACAGACCAATGATGACCATTACAAGGACAACAGTCAGACTGCCCAGGACGACAATCATCAGCTTTGCTATTCCATCAAACTCTTCTACAAGAAAGAGCACTAAGTTAGACTCTATTTCCCCTTTAGAGACTTGAGACCAGGCTAAAGTTACAATGGACCAAACTGAATTTAGTTAAAGTGTTTCACCTTCAAACATTTGATAATCTGCACAATTAAAGAAATCTTTAGGAGAATCTTACTTTTACACTTGCTGTCCAGGTCATCATGTGGCTCATCGCTGCCTTCTAAAGAAATCAATGTAATCCATGTTTCAATATAACTATAAAAAGACATAATGGATTAATGGGAACCAAGAGACAGACTTTACTATAATCTTACCTTTAATGTTTAAATGTATTACAGTGAAACTTGGACGCCCGTCTGTGTAAAATCCACAGAAATAAAGTCCAGAGTCAGACAAATCCACTTGTTTGATTTTGAGAAAGAGAGTGGTGATGTTGGATCTCATTTCAAATTTTCCACTCTGATATCCATCACAGAATGAAGCATTGCTTTTGGAATTGAACATAACAGAGATGCAGCTCATCTTGGTTCTGTTGATCAGTCTGAACCAGAATGTCATACATTCATATTTGGAAATGTTGGAGCACAGCAGTGTGACATCTTGACCAGGCTGAGCCTTCACAGTCTGAGACTCAGAACCTGAGACAGAGATCCAGCCTGAAACACACAGCAGACAACGACAATGTTATAAAGTCATATGAAGGCAAACAACATCTCTTAATGAAGGTTATCAAGAATTTAATAAGTAAATGAATTTAAATGTTGGCAGGTTAAACATGCAATAATAAACTGAGCAATGAAATTGAGAGTAATTCAGTACTTACTGAGGCTGCAGAGAGTCAATACTGTTATCAAGGTGAAGAAGTTCATCATCGAGCGTATGACTGAAGCTCTGCAATGTCCGTAATGAGAGAGTGCCCCAGGAGGGCGGCGCTCAGTGTAAAGAGGTGGGCTGTTTTATGTTGCTTATACTGTTGCTCAAACTGACCACATACATGCTTTCAGGAAGTGTTCAAGGAGTATGAGACAAGTTTATCAACTTTAACATGTTAATGCCTGGCAGAATTTTGGATGACATTGTTTCCCATTGATGGGAATATGTGCTGTAGTTAAAGGACTAGTGTGTAGGTTTTAGTGGCATTTAGAGATGTAATTGCAGACAGCAACCAACTGATCACAGCTCACTTCACTCTTCTTTCCAAGTAAGTAGGAGAAACTACGGTGGCCGCAAAATTTTAGAATCTGTCCAGAGCCAGTGTTTGATTTGTATGTTCAAATTTAATTGTGGTATTTATTGTTCTTTTGTGTATTGGTGATTTCTTATCACCGGTCCATTACACATATCATCGTCCAAGGCCCAGTTCCTATAATACATGTTCATGAAGGATTCATTCACCGTATTTAAACACTGTAAAACTTGAAAAGTTAATTCAACTCTGTTTGAGGAAACAGATTGCCCTAAATGCGTTTAGGTTTATTAACTCAAACAATTTAAGCATGAAAGATATTTGATTTGAGTAACTCAAATATTAATTGTTAAGGTAACTTGGGAAAATTAGGTTAATGTTAACAATTCCATTCAATTAATTGAATGTATCTGAATAAAGTCACTTTTAATTAATGTAATGGATTGACTGCATTTTCTGGGAGGATTAAGTTATGGTAACTTACTTCTTTGATCAAGGTGTGTTGTCAGGTTTTACAGTGTGTCTTTTTACACCCACAATCACACCTCTCTGAATTTATGTTAGATCATGCTTTAAGCCCATTCATGGTAATCCCTCAACAGTACAGATGCTTTGTCAGTCATATTCTCACAAAATAAACGGAAGAACTGGGGAGAAAGATTTTAAGATGCACAACTGAAATGCTCTCATGTCTGGTTGTGAGCTTGTCAGTTTGTGTAAAGTGGTGGGTGGATAGTGAAACAGTGTCATGGCTTGATATATATACCGGTAGCTTTTAAAGCAGCATCATTCTTCTGCTCTTCGATATGTGTGGTTATGACTGGAAACCAGTCTTCCTGTGGTTGCTATTGGTTGCCTCCTGGTTAGTTTCTTTCTTTTTCCAAAACATCCGTACAAATAGAGCCTTTTTGTCTCTTAATGTCCAAGGCTGGGACGGTTAACTTTAAGACTTTATAATTTCTGACTTAGTTGAAACCTTAGTTCAGTCAGACAACTCACATTTGAAATGTTTATTCCAGCAGTACATCATAGTTAGATTTTGCCGTCTAGGCTCCGACCTCATCATTCCCCGCAGATATGTTTACATAGAGATATTGGGGAGTAATGAGCAAATACCTTAACCTCTACCCGGAGCCTACAGGTGGATGCTGGGTTGGTGGTGGGGCTTACAGAGCAGCTATACGGACACAGGGCAGCAGCGGCATTGACAGAGCAGAGGGAGCTCTGGGAAATTGTTCAGTTTAAATAGACCGCCAGATTGGAAGGGTGCGCTTGGTTAGTGATTATGGAGTGAGGCATGTAATGTTTGCATGTCTGCATAGCAGTGCAGCTATAGTGCCTGAACTAGCTCACAGGCTTTGCTCCATTTGTCCTTAGACACCACTGCTATATCTCACTTACTCCACCACTATGTAAATCTACACAGGGTCTGTGTCCAAAGGGCAAGGTCAAAGGATGATGTTGTCAAAAGAAGGGAAAATGAAGCAACTAAACTCATCTCATTCACAAGTTGTAAATTGTTGATGACCTGTGAAGTGTGTAGGAGACTATGGTGCCCGAGAAAAAAAGCTAAAGGCCCTACCTACAACCATTGTTTGGTTTGTCCATGCTGGGCTACTGTAGAAACATGTCGGTTTAACACTGACTCCATGGAAGGCATCCTCCTCAATGTTACACACTGCACCTTTTAATCTATACAAATTATATTTATATAACCCCAAATCCCAAACCACAATTTGCCTCAAGGGGCTTTACAATCGTTACAACATTCAACACCATCTATCCCTAGACAGTTGATTTGGGTGAGGAAAAATTGTAATACAGTATGTGGTATGACTTTTTGGTCAGGGTTACATTTTACGTCTTTCTAGTTGCAGCATATATGAGGTTGAGTTTCCACTTCTTTCTTGTTTTGGGTTGGAAAATCAATGCTGCATCCTTCGGAGTCCAGATTCTGTAAATAAGAGTCAGAGGATTTTCACATATATGAGCTTCAGTGAAAAAATGCTAAGGGCTGCACACTTCCCTGCCACAACGGTTAATAATTACTTTTGTCAGGTCAGAATGTCTGAAAAGCTTTGAAACCACACCAATATGCATACATAAACCATGTATAGGCTGACAAGCTCAATGGTGGCAGATGTGGATTATCATTCTGACCAGGGTGATAAACATCTGAAAACAATGAACAAAGTACATAAGTACACAGATATAGTGTACATATCAATAGAAGCAGTATACATTATATCAGATACATCGACACATATATCAAAATCTACATCACCTGCCTTCAAATATACATATAAAAATATAGTGTAGAAAAATGAGGAGAAATATATTATATATTAGTTAGTATATATGCAATCTAACATTGTTTTCAGATTTTTTTTTTTAAATATGTGTATCGGGATCTAGGGAATTTAAGACTATGTATACATATACGAATATATACATATATACATTGCAAAATTGCTATCATAATGCTGCCACCATTGTATTTTAGAAAGAGATATAGTCTCATAAACTATATAAAATGATTGACTAATTAGGACTTGAAGTGGTTTAACTTGCTTGTGGACTATATATCCAGTAAATCAGTCTGATCTGCTATTAATACATTTCATCACTGAGCAGTAGGTTAACTGTGATATTGACAACAGGATGTGCAAAAGCTACATAAACACAATAGACAGCTCTCAGACAGTACCTCTTTGCCTCATTTTGACAACAAGGACAATGATGACTTTAGTGAGAACAACAGTCACACCACTCAGGATCACACTCATCAGGCTCAGTATTTCACCAGGCTCTTCTACAAGAAAGATCATTCAATTACTTGAACTGTGATCAAGTAGCATATATTGTGCATATTTCCGAGTGAAATACTTTTTTATACTTTACTAGCTTGAAATCTAATAGAAGCACTGATTAATGACCTTTGTTGACTGATGCAATATCAGTTCACAAATTCTAACCTGCATATTAAATCCTAATGAGAGGATGGGAGAACATTTAATGTGCTACTGAAAAAAATCTCTCACATTAATTATCAGATTTTGACAGGATATTTCCTTAACAATCTATCTCTGACCACGTTGAAATAAGATACATTCTGTTTCCTTTGTGCTGGCAGCTAAAGGACACTGTACGACAATTCTTACCTTGAACCTTTAAATATGTTGCACTGACAAGTACTGAGTATCTGTTCATGTTAAATCCACAAAAATACAACCCAGAGTCAGACACATCAGTGCGCTTGATTTTGAGAAAGACGGTGGAGATGTTGGAGCTCATTTCAAATTTGCCCTTTTCGACTCCGTTGCAGAGTGAAGCAGGCTCAGTAGAACTGTACATGGAGGAAATACAACGGGGCTGCGTTCTGTTTACCAGTGTGAACCAGACTGTCTGAGTGGGAGAACTGGAAAAGTTGGAGCACAGCAGTGTGACATCTTCACCAGGCTGGACCTCCACAGTCTGAGACTCAGAACCTGAGACAGAGATCCAGCCTGAAACACACAGCAGAGAGATTTAGTTCTCAGCTGATAATGCAACAACAAACAGATTAAAACGACCCTAAAACATTGCTGTAGAAACTATAAACTAAACACAATTTAGCCATGGACTAACACTAAGAGAAATTAAATACCAGTACTTACTGAGGCTGCAGAGAAATAAAGCTGGTATCATCATCAGAGTAAAGCTCATCATTGTGTGTATGATCATCTTGCTGTAATGGAGGCTAAAATCACTGAGCTCCAGGAAGGAAGTTCAAAGAGGAAGGTTCTTCCACTCACACATGGTCTTTTTTTGTCGCAGCACAAAGATTAAGATCACAGGTTGATCAACATATGACAGGTTGACACTAACGTAGGAGGATAGATGTGAACCGATACAGTGTGCACCCACATAATGCAGTGCAAGTTGAGGTGTACAGAAATTCTGATTGAAAATTGGGCCTGAGACAGAGAACAGACAACTAAGAGTATTTTTCCAGGGCCACGCCTCTCACTTTGTTGTGGACCAAACTCTACACTGAACACAGATTAAATTAACATTGATCTTCTTATTATATTCTGCAAGACAGCAAACAAAAATACAGAAAAGGGGGGAGGAACTCAGTAATTGTTGCAGTAGCATATATTCTAAGAAAGAAAAAGTCTTATAGAGACAATCAGGTTTTTTGCAGCCACTTATTCAGCTGGTTACAATCTACACCTTCACTGCTAGATGCCACAAAATCCTACACACCCTGCACCTTTAAGTACATTTTGATGTAATACTTATATACTATATATACTGTATACATATATATATATTACCTTAGTAACATGTAGAATGCTGAACTTTCACTTTCAGTAGTGGAGTATTTTCACAGTGGGGTTGCTATTTGCACTTTTTGCAAAATGGACATGAACCTTCTTCCAACCAGAGGTTAGCACACCCATAGCCTAACTGCACCTGTGTGTAAGGTCGTCTTGTGGGTAAGGAAGTGAGGAGGTCTATTACAATTTGCTTCTGCAGCTGAGCTTGAAGCCGTGGTTGGAGAAATCAGAGCCATCAGACGATTTGCATGTGTGAGGCTGCACAAAGCATTTTTCCTGTAAGCAGCCTACTGATGTATAAAACGTAAAACAAAAAGTGAATGAGGTGGACGAAGTGAAAGTAAAGCTTCGACTGAGAGCAACGCAGCCTTTGTTGCGTGTGGTTTTATAGCAAAGAGCTGAAGGCCAGTCCTCCTGTGGCTTTCATTCTAACTGATACACACAGTGTTTTCACCACAGTGGAAAATAACAGGGGGGAGAAGGTACATTGCTTGTTGCATGCCTACATGTGCATGCAACAAGTGTTATGGAAAGCTCCCCTTTGTCTTGTTCATACACGCATCCACTCTGTCTTATAACATATGTTTGAGATAGATGAGACAGATATTGATCAGGGACAAACCAAATGGCAACAAAAAAAAATAGCATTAGATTTTAGACTGAGCGAATTATTTCCTCCCTCCTGTCTCCTGACCATCATGCTGGATATTTGCTGGATATCAATAGGCACTGATGGAGGTCTAGTCATAGTCAACAGTAGTGATCCTTTAAGTTAAGGGGCAGGCTACAGTACATGACCTTTGCCACAATTTGCTCATTTGAACTTTTTAAATCTGAGATAAAAAACTATGCGTTGGCATAAAACATCATCATCCGTTGTATAGACACAAGACATAGAGGGGAGGCTGTCTGGCATCTGACACATCTTTCTAACTACCGTCATCTGAGATGATGATGTTTGTGCATCCCCACAGCATGAAAACTGGGCCAAACATTTGAATAGTAACAGTACAGCAGTTCTGTCCACACTAGATTAACTCAATATTCAAAGTCTTTTAAAGAAGATGATGATTTTGCATTATTATGCATTATTGCAATATGAAGTAACTATCACAACTGACAGTGTTCATGTTGATGTCTTTCTCTGGCTAAAGAGTGTCTTGAAGTTTGAAGGCAGATATTGATGTAGCTTGTGAATGTAAAGTAGTTAAATAGTAGCATTACTCTGTTTGTGTAGCAGGTTGTTGCTGTTTGTGGTCATGGCTGAAGTCTTCCTGTGGTGGACACTTTGTTTTTCACTCATACGGACAATGTTTGTCACGACAGGGGGCTGATTTGACTTCAGAGGCCTTGTGACTTTCACATGAGTTGTACTCAGACCACACTGTGCTGTCTCTTCCTGTGAAATGATGTGTATCTCACTCTTCCCTCCCCCTGACAGACCATTTGACTCTCCCTAAGAGGGCGTTTAACAGTCGTCACTGTCCTTTGTGTCTCATCAAACATCAAATATGTCCTCATTACTGACACTACTGGCCGACAAAATAAGAAAGGCAAAGACTTTGGCTGAGAGAGCGACACAACTGCCCATGAATATAGAAACTTTATTTTAAAATGTTTGCCATTGACCGCTTCTGTCACCCACTACCAACATGCATGTGGGTGGTGACTGGCAGCAGATTCATATGATAAAGCATCAGTTACAGTTGCAGTTTCAGTTCCTTCCTGAGTCTATCTGCTGGCAGCATGAATAACATGAGTCTCCACTTGTCTCTCTGATGTAGTCCTCCTGTTTCTTATTATCTGTGGAAGGAAACACTGAGCGTTGTAGATCAAGTCATCTGAGCCCAGATTCTGTGAATAAAGGAACTATTTAGGCCCATATACTGTATCTATACACACACACACACATACACACACACACACACAAGTGTGACAAGGAGACAACATTTCAAAGCGAGCAGGTCAAATCTTGAGGTTTTCTTGCAGTCACATACTGTACACAAACACTGTTTGCACCAAAAAAGAATGACTTGAACTTGAAGATTAAGGTTGATCATAGATACGGGCTGTTTTTAAAAAAGGAAAACAAAGTTAGTAGTAGTTAAATGATTTGTCTATCTCTGTAGGGATCATTTCCATAGTGTTGTCAGACACTTAAAACAACGATCTGAGTCTGTCAGTGGCAAAAACAAGGACTCTGACATACTTTGTTGGTTGCATTTGTGCCCATGGATTAATGTTAGCTTACATTGTGGCAACTGCAGCACTTTTCCCGAATATTTCCACATCTCACTCTGTGAATTATCTGTGTGGAAATACTAACAAAGATGGTTTTTATCCCGTCCCGTTGTTCTGCTCTGAGATGATGGTGCTCTAGTGCAACATCCAATGGCAAAATAATTTTGTATATATAACCGTTACCTATCATCCACAGTAATACTTCACCTTGTTTCTTTCAGGATGCAGTTCTTCAACGGCAACTATGTGACAAAAGATTAGTCTGATTAGTTTAGTGTCACTGACCAAATACTGTTTCACAACTTGACACAACAGGATCTTATGATATCTCATTATATCTGAGTCAGGTGCAATTTGAGATAAAAGTGGCCACAAAGGATTATTTCAGATGCTTAAAAGTAACCTCACCTAATCCAGTCTATAAAGACTAACTATAAAGAAAACAAAGGGAGGGACATATGGTGTCATATCTTTATTCTTGGTGCTATAATCTATGCTGTTTGTGTCATTTTCTTAGAGGTTGAACCTAGATGCAGACCGCCGACAAGCACATAGGTGAATCATCTATTCAGTCTTTTATTGTAGATACCGGAAAGAATGGCGGGTTGATGGCTGACTCATTGCACATGATGAACAAGTGTGCAGAGAGGCAGAGCCATAGTGAGGCAGAAGACCACGCCCATACACAGACACAGACCCTGGGGGACTTTCTCATTTCCCAGTTTTACATCCTCGATTCCATTCCTCACCTCCTATCCTTGCACCTCAGCCCCTCCCAGTCCCAGGAATGAGAAGTGGAGTGATTTAGCAACATCAGAAGAGAATCATATGTATTTTACATTTTTATTTATTACTCATACAGACAGTGTTTATCACCACAGGGTGCTGGTGTATTCTATTACTATTGTCTCCATGTTCCTTCAAAAAGGTCTCTAATTTCATCTGAAGAAGTTAGTTTACACTGTTTGCTTTTATACTTTCCACTGAGCTTTGGCTTCAGAGGCCTCATGATTTTCACCTCAGTTGTTCTCAGACCACACTGTGCTGTCGCTTCCTCCTCCCCCTCAGACCAAAACAGAAAGACATACACTTTGACCGAGAGAGAGAGACAGAAAGAGACATGAGCGAGAAAATACAGAATCAAAGTTTATTCTTCCACCCACTACTCACACACAAAAACACAACAGCAGATTAATGTGATAAAGCATCAGTTCCACTCAGAGCTACAGTCCCAGTTGAGTCTATCTGGTGGCAGCATACACAACATGTGGCTCCAGCTCTCTCTCTGGTGCAGGTCTGCGGTTTCTTTTTGGTTTCGCCTGGAAACGTAGAGCTGCGTAGTTCAGGTCATCAGAGTCCAGATTCTGTAAATCAGAGTATTTAGAGTCACATATTCACATACACTGTAGCTGAGTTTGCCAAACAACCTTTAAGTTAAATTGTTGGCTTTGTGGGTTTTACCACAAAGGAATCATTTCAACTAACGCTATGTCCACACAGCATTTGTAAGCAGTGTTTCACAACTGCTGCAGCTCGCATATCTGAGGTGATCACACAGAAAGATTTCTGCTGCGGAGCTGCTGCTGCCAGCCCTTTATATATGGATAGCTTCTGGTGGAGCTGATGGTGCAGAATAATATGGAAGCCGAGAACGGCTGTGCTTGTGATTGCGAAAGGCAGACTTTTCAAGATAACAAACTAAACAATTTTTGTTTTGTTGAGATCAATAATTATGGAAAACTCAAAAAGAAGTGTTTGGTTCATTTGATCGCACTTGATTTCAGCCTTTAAGATCACTGTCATGAGTGTTGGAGAGGATTCATAATTCAGCTGAAAAGAGTTGTTGCCAGAATGGACATCTGAGAGTTCATTTAAGATATTCATTTCCTGGTGTATATATATCAAAATATATCAGTAGAAGAGATTAATAATGAGATAAAACATCCTTGCTATTCTTTTCATGCACTTGCATGCAGCTGATGGCTCATTTTGGTCGGAATGAAAATCAATATTAGGTGGCACGTTGTCTGTCCATTGTGTTGAACCAATGCTACATCTATAATACATCATCTGTACATGCTGATATGGCACTAGATTTATAATGTGTTCAAATGCAACTTTAAAACCATAACACACAGTTTGTGTAAGTTAATGGTGGGTTCACCTCGTTTCTTTCTGGCTGCACTTCTTCCTTCACAGCTAAATGACAAAAGACAAAAGTCTGATTAGTTCATTATTATTGATCACATACTTTACTTTGGATTTGTCCATCATGTAGATGATGTGCAACAAATTATAAATGTACTGTACCTGTCTGAAGGTTCTTGATTTTAACAGTCAGAACAATGACAACTATAGTGAGGACAGC